ACAATTGCCTTGAAAACCTCAAGGACTCGTCCAAGCAGTCACTGCAGAGTCGGTAACGACTGAGCGCAGATAAAAAAAAAAAAAGGATATCGTTGCCGAGAAAACTGAGTGGATATGTCCTTAAAATCTCCAAGAATAGAACATAAGATTTTTTAATCTTTTTAGTTTGTAGCTCAACCTGTGTGGGAGTCCCCCTATTGTATTAAGTTGTGGGAACCAGTCACCACATTAAACCATTGTATGGGCTGTTGGTTTAGGTATAACATGTTATGTAAATGGAGTAATTGTGCTTTCTTAAACCAGAATTATGCCTTACCTTTGGGGACAAGGAATAGATGAGGATCTGATAGAAATCATGCCTCATGTGGAAAAAGTGGGTATCTGCTCTCGTCAGGTTTCACATATTTATTTTGTCTAGACAGTGTATAAACCTGTTTTCTATTGGCACTCTCTTGGAGTAGCATGGCCCATATATGACAGGAAAGAGTAGTTCTTTAAAAATAATGGTAATAAAAACACATGAGTATGAGTTATTGTCATTTAAATTATTTTAATTTTGTGTTTTTGATTAGCTAGTAGTTCTACTCCAAGAACACCTGTATTGTCCGTAAGTGCAAGAAAAATTAAAGATAATGCAGCAGACTGGCACAACCTAATGATGAAATGGGAAACCTTGAATGATAATGGATTTTCTATTGCCACCAAGATTGTGAACATCAAAAACGCTACCCGGTAAATACATTGGACTAATTTGTCAATAGTCTTGGTGCAAAGCTTATTTTTATTTCATTTAAACTGGATTTTAAAAAAATTCATATGATGCATTCAGTTTAAAGAGACTGTGTTAAACAAAGATGATTCTGCATGGTTAGGCAATAAGATGAGAGGTAATGAAGGCATTTTTCTTAAATACTAAATGATTTTTAAAATTATTTATTAGGTTTAATGACAGCACATTGGAGATAGAACATACTGAAGATTCCTCTGACTGTGAAAGACTGCCACTTGACTATAACATGGAACTGGAGCAGTGCTGTGCAGAACTACTTGGGATTTTTAACAATTTGGTACTTCTTATAAATATCTGTGCTGAAAAACATTTCTGTTTCTACTCCTCACTGGTCAAGAGAGGCATATCTTTGCAGCAAACTGTCATGTAACCTTTTAAGTAATTACTTTAACAAGTCTAATCGAGACAGCAACCTTTAACAGGAAAGCATAAAGACATTAAGTATATAAGCCAGATTTCAAATGAATGTGTATTATGCATATTAACTCAAAAGTGCCAAACAAAACTATTAAACTGTGTTTAGTTCTGGCTGTTAAAGATGTCCTTAAGGAAGCATTATGCATCATCGGTATTGTTTATCTTATCTATGACCAATTTTTCAAAATTTCTTAGCTGCTAAAAGTAGTAATCAAACAATTTTGCTCAAAATGTTTACTGGACTTTAGCTTCTTAAATGTTGAATCTTATTTGTTCTCAACTTTGCTAGGCCAAAATACACGAGAAAATGGAAAAACTCTGTTCAACAACTAAAGGGGTCTGTGACTTAGAAACATACCATCATGCAGCAGAACACAAGGCACCATTATTTCACACATGGCCTGTTTCCTATTTCTGTAAGTAAATCTGTCTTTTCATTGAGGATGACTTATTTGAACATAACTGCATGATAACACTGAGTCTTCAAGACAAATAGCCCTTAATACCTGCCCTTCATAAATTTATCAAATCCCTTCCTTAGTCACATGGTAATGAAATCCACAGATTTTTATGCTGTATGTGAAAAAATTATTTGTCCAAATCTCCTCCCAGTTAGCTTCATTGAATGATTCTTGGTCATATTTTGAGAGAGGTAGAAAAAAATCTCTCCCTGCTGACTTGTCTACATCATGTGCAATTTTATATCCCTTGATCATGTCTTCTCCCTCTCAATTGCTTTATTCCAAGCTAAAGAGTCTGAAACATTCTAACATTCCCTAGGAAAAATGTTCTATACCTTATCCATTTTGCTCTCCTTTTTTTTCAGTTCATATAACATCATAGAGTTGGAAGGGACCTTGGAGGTCATCTAGTCCAGCCCACTGCCCAATGCAGGAATTCTTACACCATCCCAAACAAATGGCTGTTCAATCTTTTCTTGCAAGCCTCCCGCAAGAGAGGAGGCATACTATTCCACTGCTATAACTCTCACTATCAGGAAATTCCTCCTTATTTCAACTGGTGGTCGCTCTTATTTCAACCGGTTAAGGTTCTACCTATTGGTTCTTGTCTGACCTCAGGTGCTAAGGAAAATAAATCTAGTTCCTTATTGCAAAAAATTTCACAGCATATTGAAAGAGAATGCAGGACCATTTCTTTTTATTTCTTTTTCAGATGACGTCTCTGTCAAGCTCTTAGACATGTATTCACAAGAACTAAAACTCAAGCAAACCATTGTGGAAGAAATTGCTCATACTGCTGACCAAGATCTATTGATGGTCTATTTATCATCATGGTTATATCAGCCCTACATTGACAACAGCAATATAGTACTGTTAGAAAGTATGTTGTTAGAAACAGGGCACAGGCAGCTCTAATCTTACCTATTTATTAGAATTATCACCTTAATTTTAAACCTTCCTTTCAGTAGCAAGACATACAATGCTAATATTGTTACAGATTTATGATTTTATTACACTGTACTTAGTTGCAGCTTATTTTTAATAAAATTCTTGCATTTTTATGATTTATACAGCTGCTTTTTGTTCCATATTATAGCACAAAGCACAATTTCCTTTTATTTTGAAGTATATTGTGAGCAACATAGTACGTGGTTATTTTCAGAAGATTTTTTAATGTTCATAGTTTCTCTGGGTATGTAACTGAGCTGTCAGAATATTAGTAATATCTAAGTAGTTTAATATTTCCCTAATATTTCTAATGTGTCAATATGTGGGAGTAGTGTCTCTCCTCAAACTGGGTAAAAGGTCTCAAGGGAAAACCTGCAATCATGCACACTTCTCGTATGAAAATAGAGCTGCATAATTATATAATATATATTGTACTTAAATATATACAATGTGTAGAAGGAATAATTTCTCTACTTTCAGACCCACATCTTGATTAAACATTACCACTGGCATACGACTTGTGACACTAAGTGATTAATATAACACAAGCCTAGAAAACAAGCAATAGAGTAAAAAATTCTGATTCTACACAGCAAATTTAGAAGTCTTGTAAGTATGCCAAAACAGAAGAGAACAATTCCTGATTACGGCAGTTATTTGACATGTGAGTGTTCATGTCATTTGTTGTAAAAAGCATAAAACAAAGTGCTCAGAATAGGGAAGATACTGAAGTCCTTCAAAAACCAAGCAACTCTTGTGATGCAGCTAGGATCGGAGATGGTAACAGGCTTCTAGAAGATAAAAAGGAATGGTAGCAATATAAAGATCAGCACTGCTCCCTCCCATTTTTGGCAACACAGTTGCTAGACCAAACTCTCCTACGACAGTATTTCAGTGTCGTACTAATAAGTACTAATAAGTAACTGCTCAACTATTCAGGTTGTACTTACAATCTCTGTTTTGATTTTTTCCATTCCAACAGAACATTGGAAAGAATTATATAAAGGGACTCTGAACTCTATCAGCAGGATAACTCAAAAAACTGAAGAAAATGGGACAACATTTGGTATAATGGGAGAATCCAGCCAAAGAAAGATCATGTTAAAAAATGGGCCAGATCTGGCATGGGACTACAAAGAAAAACATTCCAGAAAAAAATCCCCCAATGCTTCCTTATGGAAGAGGCAGTTGTGCTTGGAATGCTACAGACCATTCTATTCTAACCCCTCCATCCCATGCCCTAGACACAAATGCAGCACATTACTTAGTTACATAAAAGAACATACAGACAGCTCCTATAGTTACAGCTATAATGTTTGGAAAGAATTCAAGAAGCCATGCTCTATATCAGTGCTCTATATACTTCCCCTAACTTGTTTAGAATTGCCTTTATGTGGGACAATGTGTAACAGCACAGTTACTCATTTCTGTACTTGGCTTAAGAATCAGTGACGGTACTGAAGGTTGAAACTACATTCACTGGTGATTTTGGATTCATTTCTGGGCTAGGGGAGTCCATCCTTTTCCTAGGGCCGTGAAATAAACTGAGTAATTTACCCAAGTTTTTGGCACCCTCTAAAATACTCCTATGCAGCCTAAAACACTGATAAATTAAAACCTTTTTATTCAGTTTGGAAATAAAGATAACCACTACATAAGAGCGTCTTCAAAGTTTATTTTCCCAAGTCACTTCTAAATCACCTTTGTGTGGATTATTCCATGTTCTTTTTTTAAAGGGGCTGTTTCTGTTGCTTAGGCTTTTGCCCAGGATCTGAAGTGTCATGTGCATAACATGCTAAACTCAGTTACAGCTTAACAAGAGGCATAATAAGATGGCTCCTCTCAAATCAGGCATGGCTAACGAACTGCAGACACCTCCCTCATAGCTTAATATCCTGTACAATTCAAGGATCCTGGCTTGTTCCAAAAACAAGCTAAGTTGATAGTTTACCCAATATGTTTTTAAAAAACCATGCAGGAAGCTGCCTGTAATTCGCCTACTTGTAGGAAGAGCCAGTGTGGACATCCTCTGCATCAAGAAGCCAAAAGATTTGTTTTGAAGTGCAGATGTAGTTTTTGTGCCTATCAATCCATATCCCTTCCAAGCATCTTCACCAAACAATTCAGTTTAGGCTTCAAAACTTGCACATGTCATGACATAAATGTACTTCATTTTATAATATTTTATGTCATACTCTATTGAACTCTTCATTTCCAAATATTTGAGAGTCTAGGTATTATGGATTAAAAGTGTTTTCAGAGTAATTTAGATTAGGGAAAATTAACAATATAGCTTATAGTTGCCAGTATGTAGAATAGGACATATCCAAAAATGTGAAGTAGATGAATTTGTACTTTTGAACAAGCCATTTGTGAATGTTCTATGTGTTAAACTAAATTGATATTTAAGAAAGCCTTAACTAACTCTTATCTGTTTATTATCCTGGAACAGGTGATATCTTCAAAACATTAAAATGACTCAGATGTCAAGAACAGTGTGTAGCACTTTGAATTTTAAGTAGACAAGTTCTTCTACTGTAATTACTTTAAAAAAGTAATTACATTGGAAATCTGATAGAAACACCAATCTGTAAAGCACCACTTTTTCAAGTTTATTCAGGATAGCATACATAAGCATGTAAATGTTAATTTTTGAAGGAATTCTGGCAGCTGTCCTTCTTAAATTTATATTTTATGTAGCCAAACATTGTTAATATATTCATAGCAATTGGTACAGTATATTTGTCTCTTAGGAGAATCTCATTTTCTATTAACTCTATATACCAATGTCCTTTAAGAGATGCTAGCTTTCCATAGTGTTCACTCATTCAGCCATTAAAAGAATACTGACTCCTAAGGAAGCCAGTACAGCTTCTCTTTTGCAGACGAAGGCATGTGCAAGGAGGGACAAAGTGACAACACATGCATTGTGATATCATGATGCAAACTCCATCTCTTACAAAATTGTGGGCAATGTGGCAATACAAGTACAAAAAGGTACAGCTTGCATTATAGCATCATAATGCATGTTTCATCATTTTGGTGTCATGGTTAGGAAAAAACAACCTGCTCCTGAATACTTAAAGCGAAGCCAATATTAGAGCCACATTAGCAGAGGGGGAGGAAAGATGATCATTGTGGGTAGGTAACACCTGAACCCGGCTACTTTTAGAACTGTTATGTTAAATACATGTTAATGCATATGTTAAATACAGCCAAGCTTGTGGAACTGAAAACAACATATTTAATACACATTTCAAGTAGACTTTCAAAACTGCTTCAAAAATATTTTTATAATGGCTTAATTTCACTATCACTGTTAAAAGTGCTGCAACTGCCAAAGAATTTGTATAAATCTACATAGCAGTAGCAAATGGTGTTACAAACATTTGAGATATAGAGATGTATAGCACCAGGAAGAGGCAAAGCCTGTGTCCCCAAGAAAAGTTCCCAGTTTTCATCCATGATCTTCAACATTATCATGTACTTACTGCATTCTCTACTTTTCTTCCTCTAAGATACTATTAAATTGATTACATTAATTCAATCACATATATTTCAAGCAATGTTGAAACTGGTCTATGCAATTTCCTGAGATCTAAACTGATGAGCTACTCCTGTGATATTTAATACTGTTGAAATTATCAAAGTTTTAAGAAAGTTCAGAATTTGTTAGCAGAAAGCATTTGTTCTTCTTTAAGTTCTTGATATATTTTATTTTTATTGTTTTCTTCATGAAGAAGCCAAGGAAAATGCTGACCATATTTTTCAGATGCCTCAAGAGGTATAATAAGTTGCTTCATTTACTGTGTCCCACCTTGAGTTTATCTTTGTTCTTGTGAACATCCTCTATCGCCAGTTGGGCATCTCAATCCTGGTATATTTAAAGGCTGTAAACATTCACATTTTCTTGGGTGTGCTGACCGCAAAAATCTGTATTAGCTTCATCATACACAATTCTTGGTTGGAGCAATTCATATTCTTTTTCCCATACTATATGTCCAGAGCAACTGCTGCACGTTTCTATAAAAGTTTAAGAAAGTATACAAAAAGTACTGTGATTTAAATGCACATTTTAAAGAACAAATAATCTATATAGCTTTTTGAATATAGAACACTGTTAGGTGACATTTCTTTCACTATGCATATGTTTGGGTCCAGCCAATGAACCCTAATTACCAGGTTTGGGACTTGGTGCAAGGTGAACAGAACACCAAGACGAAAATCAGATGTTTTCTATCCACTTTATTTTAGAGCTCTAAACAAACTGGAGACTCCCAGCTAACGGAGGGAGTCCTGATTACGGATTTTACATAGCTTATATACTTTTTCTTCGCAGAATCCACATGACAGTTTAAACAAAGAAACCAGTTAACTTCTTACAAACATCTGCAGGTGTTTCTTATAAAATTATCTATTTCACCAGGTCACTGTGACTTCAACCAAAAATAGGTTTTTGTGCCCTTCACAACATCCTCCTGCTATACATTA